TAGATAACAGAAGAATGTGTCTGGCCTCTTAGTCGTGGTGTGGGGTAATATTCATGGGGCAGGGGTCAGGTGTGTAGACCAAACAGACATCTCTTTGTTATGTGTCATGACTGACAGGGAAGATGGCTGTATGATGGGGAGAGTTTGTGAGACAGACAAAGATGTGTGTCTGTACAGCGCTTAGACTCCAGGGGATTGGCTTACTGCTTAGAGACAGGCGGGCGCCCGCGAGGCACTATCCCACCCATGTGATTTCACAGGGTGGTGAGTTTGCTAGGGATAATCACACCCTATAGTGTGGCGATTTGAAGATCATGTCTGTGGAATTGGTTTACAAAGCCTAACTATTGTTAAGAAATGCACCCCGAGTCTTTCAGGTACATCGGCTTATGTTTTCACCTCTCCAGATCACTTCCTTCCTCCCAGACATGGTTTCTCTCTCAACTTCCACCAAGCATCTTTAGAGTCTTTACAAGCGCTCTTTACAAACAGAAACCAGAGCATGGAATCTAACCATGATCAAATTGTTCAAGGAGTGCGGCTTTGCTTAAAACCTCCTTCAGTCTGTGTGTGGGTTTATTTAACTAGTTTGGGGACAATACGCCCCAAAAAATTAATAAAATTGGACAAGACCTCCATTTTGGGATGTCTAAGGACATCCTCAATTGGGGAAATTATACATAAACAATATACTAAAGAAGTCTCTTATGCTCACCAATGCTGCATTCATTTAATTAAAAAAAAAGTAATTTTTCGGAAAAAAAAAAAAAAAAATTATATTTTCTAAATATATATATATATATTCATGTGATGAAAAGCTACATTTTACTGTAGTCTTCCGTATCACATGATCCTTTAGAAATCATTCTGATATGCTGATTTGGCGCTCAATTATTACCATACTAGTGCTTAATTATTAATAATGGTTGTTATTATTATTATTATCAATGTTAAAAACTGTGTTTGCTGCTTAATATTTTTGTGGAAACTGTGATACACTTTTGAGGATTCTTTTATGAATCGAAAGTTCAGAAGAACAGCATTTATTTGAAATAGAAATCTTTTGCAACATTATAAATATATTTACTCTCAGAGTCATGTAATGCTGAATAAAAATTCATTTCTTTCTTTCAACATTGATAATAATAAGAAATGTTTCTCGAGGATCAAATCAACGTATTGGAATGATTTCTGAAGGATCATGTGACACTGAAGACTGGAGTAATAATGCTGAAAATTCTATGCTATCACAGCAATAAATGATGTTTTAAAATCTATTAAAATATAATACAGTTCCTTTAGTTGTAATAATTATATTGCTATTATTACAAAATTTCAGTTTTTTACTGTATTTTTGATAAAATAAAAGCAGCCTTAAGAGAGACTTTTTCAAAAACATTTAAAAAAAAAATTAATTATTTAACTTTTGACCGGTATATACTGTATTTAACATTCATGTAAAATGTTATAATTAGGTTTTTAAAAAATCCTCAAAACGAGATATTTGTGGACATCCTCAATTAGCCAAAATGATTAATAAATAATAATAGGAAGAATATATTTTAACTACACAAAAATTCTTAAAAAATCGTAAGTTTGTAGTCATTACAATTAGCATTAATTATAATAAGAATAGTTCATTAATTATAGCATAAAATATTACAAGTATGTCCATTTAGATATAGTTGTTATTTTTAAGGGTGCCAAAAAAGCTGTAAAGCTTTAGAATAACATTCAGTGGAAAGTGCAAATGAATTTCAATGAAATTGAAAATGTTTTCATACTGTACATTTGCCATTTTCCCTCTAATATGGAAAACTGCAATTTCAAAGTAAATGTTTTCCAGATAATATTCTAATGATTTGCTTTGGCTTTAGCTACAATATAAAAAAAATAATTTTAATTTTATATAAGGTGCATGTTGTACATAAAAATGTGTAAACCACATATTTTCTCAAACTGTATGAAGGAGTCATCATACATAAACGTTGAAGTAAGTTAGAAGACCTTAGTAAGTGTGTGTGTGTGTGTGTGTGTGTGTGTGTGTGTGTGTGGTCTCTCACCAACAGGTTTCAATGGACACCTACCAGCTTCAGGGCATCATGTGGAGAAGCACATACTCAAAAGATTTTGATTTATATCTCAGCTGTTCTGCAGGCTGTAGTGTGATGGAGGGGTGTAGAAATCGTTAGTCATACCTGTCAAAGGGAGGATGATATTTACTGCACAAATTAAAAGAAAATAGTATCAATTTACAGCACCCTTTGGGCATCTCTACATCTGTCTAATTGTTTACATCTCAATTTGACCTCTCTTAATTTCTGCCTCTCATTGCCCTGCAGACAAATTACATCAGCAAATGTTACGGTTATCTTTTGCATCAGAGATCATAGTTTGCGAACACTTTTCCAGTAAGGTTACAGTAAATCTGTCCTGCAGAGGCGTCTTTACACATCTGTGTGTTCCTGCTCTTTTCAGGTAATATTGAGAAGTGAGGTGAAGTTCACCAGTGATGTTTAATGTAATGTGTAGGATTGTAGGCTGCATTAAGCCTAAAGTTTGTTGTGTATTCTAAATTTTGGCAAATGTAAGTCATAATAATAATAATAGTAAGAGTAGTATGCTATTCCACTTTCCTTGTTACAGTGTAATTATACACTGTAAAAAATGACCGTGAATTTAACGGTAAAAGACTGTAAAAATGCTACAGTAAAAACCTGTTAAATGGTTAACGGTAAATTCCCCTACTATATACGGTGAAAAACTGTATTGGACATTACATGTATTGGACATTAATTTTACGGTAGTATACCGTTTTTGGAAGTGAAAAAGACCGTATAATTTACAGTGAATAACCATAAATTGACATTCCCAGAATTCCATACGTTACATTTCAAATTTGATGTTTTTTTTTGTTTAAATAACTATGTTTCTTATTTTTTTCTTATCAGTTTTGTATATTAGGGTTGTGTGTTACACCTAATGTTGTTAAATGAATGTTTATTGCATTATTTCAGTTTCATGTGTGTTACCATGATGGTGTTTAGTGTTTGTGTGAATGACACTGTGCACCTTCTATATATGTTATTATTTAAAAGCCGCTTGTGATAGGCTTTGGTTCATCATGTGACTTTCTCATCACCACCTGCATTTGGTGGTTATCAGTGTATTACAAAGGTACAAAACAGATTTCAGTACTTCAATAGGTTGGTATATTAACATTATATCAGTGAATGAAATTACGGTATTTAACTGTCAATTTAAGTTAAAACCGTAAAACGTAATTTTTTTTACGGTGTACATTTAAAGGAATGGTTCACCCAAATGAACAAAATGCCAAAAATCTACTCTCCCTTAGGTCATCCAAATTGTAGATGAGTTTGTTTCTTCATCAGTGCAGATTTGGAGAAATTTAGTATTACATCACTTGCTCACCAATGGATCTTCTGCAGTGAATGGGTGCCGTCATATTGAGAGTTCAAACAGCTGATAAAAACATCACAATAATCCAGTAATCCACATGCCTCCAGTCCATGAATTAATGTTTTGTGAAGTGAAAAGCTGAGTGTTTGTAATGAACAAATTCATCATTACAATGTTTTTAACTTTAAACCATTGCTTCTGGCCAAAATATGATTCCTCTATCCATAATATTACTTTCTCCAGTGAAAAAGTTGTCTCACCTGAATCAGGAGAGTAATATGCACAGATAAAGCAGTGAGAGGAAAACAGGGGATGGACTTAGAAGCTTTCACTTTACAAGAAATTAATTGTTGGACTGGAGTCGTGTGGATTACTTTTTTAACAGCGGTCTGGACTCTCAT